GAATCTCAGTGCTCAGTCTGTGCAAGTGCTGCCCCTTGGGGTTTAAAGGATGGGTGCCAGGCAGAGCACACCCCAAGCAGGAGTAAGGCAAGGACAGGTTGCAGGCTCAGCTCTGCCTGGGGCAAGATCACTGGAAGGGCTTCCAAACACACACATGCTCATGCTGCACCCATGTTTGGGGTGAGCGACACCCCGTGAGGACTCACGGTGGCAGCCTGTGCCATCCCCTCAGTGAGGAGCTGCTCTGGTTTTCGATTGACCCTTTGCCAGGACCATCCAGGCCCCAACTCTGCTGGTCCCGTGGTTGCTCTCACTCTGGGTCTGGAGAAAATATGATGGAGAAAGAGAAATGTAGGGCTTGGGGGGCCCCGGTGATATGGCAGAAACAAAGACATTCTGACAGCTGGGTCTCATCTGACTTTCAACAGGCTGGCATTTACATTTTATTGATATATTTAACAGAAAACAGGTAATTACCAGTCAGAGAGGTCATAAAACAGCAGTAATGTAACATAGATCATACTTGATGTAACAGTTACTGTCAGAAAAATTCTGTGTACATAAGCCCACAAGATACCATGCAGAGAGAGCAAGCATGAAGATTGCTCCCCAGGTGCTGGTCCCAGGGAACTTTTGAAATTCTGGCAGCAAGTGATTTTTTATGATTTAGTTCACATTCTTCCATTCCCTGTAAACCATTTGGTCTGGATGTAAACTGTCAGGAAATGCTATGATGGAACAAATGCCCAGGGCTGTGCAGAGGCCATGCCAAGCTTGACTCCAGGGGTGGCCAGGACTTGGGGCTACCTCTGCAAGGCTGCCTGTCACCAGGGCAGGAGGGCACACAGCCACACAGCTCCTCCGGGCAGGGCTCTTCAGTGGTCTCAGCTCAGCCATCCCTTCCTAGGACACACAGCAGTGTCCAGGACAGGCACTTGGCCTTTTACACCTGTTTTTACTCATTTTCCCCATGCTTGACTAAAGATCTGTCTGTCCTGAGCAGGAGCAAACCTCTGTGCATGTGGCCATTTGGTTCTTCTGTAGGTCGAGCTCTGCTGTGAAGGGCAGGTGGACTTTTAAGCCCTTCTAGGGAAGCAGGGTAGAAAACCAGGAGTAGATCTATAGCAGTTAATTTTATCTCTTAAATTGAACATGAAAACAAATAATTCAGTGCAGTAATTAATATGAGGTTAATATCAAGGCTGTATGACCCTTTTGCAGCTTCCTTTCCCAACTTTCAATCTGCAGTTGATTTTTTTTTTTTTTAATTAGCAAAACACAGGAATGGCCCAGAGATGCCTCTGGGATTGCAGTAAGAATCGGGTGGGGATAGTGCTGCTTTGTATATTACCTTAATTTTTAAAATGTTTTATAAATTCCAGAGCTGGAAATAGATATTTTTTTAAAAGCACAGATCCTGAAGTGCAGAAGTCCTCTTCTGCAGCAAATCCCCTTACCAGGGAACTGTGGAATATATCACACCTCAGACTCCTGAGTAGATAATTGATGCTTGAACTTTTAGACCATTCTCTATTGCCTCTACTACTAAGGCTTAGTCCAAGCCCATCACAGAGCAGCAGGCAGCTGTGGGACGGGCAGGCTGCCTCGCATGCTCTTTTCCTTTTCCGTCAAAAGAAGCACCCCCCAGCCACTACAGCTGGGTGGCTGCAGGGGAGCAGAGTCCCCTTCCCAACCTGCTCCCTTCCCCTTGGGTAACACGTAAGTCCTCTGGGATCTGCAGAAATGGGATGTGTCAGATTTCCAGCCACAGGACTGTTGGAGAAACTGCCTGTGGGACACTGCAAGGGTAACACCCACAGCAGTGTGTGCTGCTAATGGCACCACTGCAAGAGACACGTTTCTTTTCTTCATTTTTCCTTAATGCTAAGGCCATTAATTTCCCAACTGCTTTCTCTGGCAGTCCTGCATAAGCAGCTAGCTTATGCCAGCCATGCCTTTCCTGGATCAGGCCTTCTCCTGCCTGGCACAAGGGCCTGTACAACAGTGACAGACCAGAGCAGCCACCAGAACTGGGTTAAAACAAAGTTTGCAAGAAAAGGAAAAAAAAACAGGTTCCTTTTAACCTGGATTAGTTCCTCAGTCCTGTGCTCTATATTGTCAGGGGCAAGTAAAGAGATGATACAAAGGGAGACTGAAGAGCAAATGATGTGTGAAACGACAGCCTAAACTATGAATGGATGGACATGACCAGTCTCAGTCACTCTTTAGACAATATAAAAATCCTCTTTAAGCCTTCAAGTATTTTTATAGCCTTAAATTGCCATTTCTCCTCTCTCTGAAACAATCCCCAAAGATGGACAGTGGCAACAGTGGCAGAAGAAAATCAGACCAGTACTGTGAGTATGCAGCTGGGGCCAGCAGCTCTCATCTGGGCGCCCAGCCTTGTCCCTGGCTCCCTGAGCTGCCCAGGAGACCCTGGAGGGACACTGCCTCATTTTATTTTCCTGACTTCTTGCAGCCTGCAGAGACTGGAGCAGGACTCTGCTCTGCTCGAAAGAGTGAGGATTTAGAAGCTGTGCCGAGTAATCCTGGGAGATGTGTGTCCTGGCTTGCACACACTGCTTGGACTGGAGCAGATTTATTCCACTCTGGATTCCTACCTTCAGGAGGACTCGCCAGGGGGATGAGTTCTGACCTGCAGCTCATAGGGACTGGAAGAGAAAGCTCAGTGCTGCCAGCCAACCCTTCACTCCCTATATTGCCCTTCTGCATCACTTACTGTCTGACATCTGGTGGGAGAAAGACCAAGGATGATGGCTCTAGGCGAACTGCAGGTACATTTTTATCTTTGGTATCTGATTTTGACTATTTGATTGGAAAAAAAAAGGAGGCGCTAAGCTGTCACCTCCAAAGGGTCCTGGCCAAGTGGTCCAGGTTACCAAAACTATTGAGTGCAGGTACTGCTGCTGGGAGCTGCTCATCGTGGATGCTGACACCTGAGGAGCCAGCTCTTCCTCCTTCTGAAAGATGTCACTAAGG